CAGCTTCATAAATAAGGCTTATTATTAACAGCGCCGCGCCGCTGCAGGCAGCACTGTTGGAGCTGAATTCAGTGAGAATACACATGCAGCTAGCCATCATTAGCAGCACTGCTCATACAAACCAATGAAACTAGCACTGATGTTAGCATACAGTGATTAGTAAACAGTAGGTATTGTTTTGTTCGAGCGCAGTGACACCCATCAAATCTGCAGTGGCTAATGTTAGCCTATAGCATATAAGTCACTTTTGTGTTCTGGTCGCTTCAAACACCAACTTTACACTAAAAGTAGAATTGGAACTTCTGTAGTTGCTTTTAGCCTAATGGGCTAACTACTGCTATCTCAGACTGCTCATGACAATTTAACTAATGTCAGCTTGCACACAAGCAGAACTGCAGTAGCTTAGTAATCCAGCGTTTGAGTCCTGTTGGTTTCAAATACCAGCTTTACACTGAAGATATGATTGAATGATAAATACAAACATTTTAATAGCTGTGGTTGACTGACTAGCTTAGGTTAGCTTATACTGATTATTAAACTATTACTGTAATTAAACCAATGTTAGCTTAGTAATCCAGCGTTTGAGTCCTGTTGACTTCAAAATGTCAGTTTACACTAACATAATAAATAAATTAAGTAATGAATAAAGCAGTCATTTGATAGCTGTGGTTGCTTTTAGCTTAGCAGGCTAGCTTAGATTAGCTCATACGACACTCTAGACAATGAAACTAATGCTTGCTAGCAGCAGAATAATTAAACTGTTGCTCATGTTGGTATGTTAGCGTCATTCTAAGGTAAAATCATGTTTAGTTATGCTATCTGCTGTAGCTAACGTTAGTGATGGGCAAACGAAGCCTTGTGAAGCATTGAGGCTTTCTTTCTTTTTGTACCGAAAATGATTCGAAGCTTCAGGGCTTCGCTGTGGGGAAGAACAGTGACATCTGTTGGTAGACTGGAATTATAGCAACTGTTTCATAATTTGACCGAAGCACTGGCACAAAACATCTTGGTTTCAATCCCAAATGTGTGCATTAAAACTCATTTAAAGTTGCATGTTAATAAACAGATTTTAAGTTACTAGCGATGTGGCATCTGTTTCTTTTTGTTTAGCAATACAAGTAAATATTACATTAAAAATATGAAGGTACGTGGTAATGGCTGGATTTGATCTTTCACACAAAGAGAGAGAAAAACCAAAAGCCTTGAGCTTTGTCTGCAGAGATATACAACAACGGCTTAGGACTTTTTGTGTAACTGTAGTTTTCAGGCTGTATTTCATTTATCCATGTATATGTATCAATTATGTTTTTTTCATTTTAGGCCATATGACTGAAGTATGATCTGACAGAAGTGTCAGTAGTTGTGCTTGTGAACATGGGCATTGCTAAAAGCAGCAGTGCTTGTGCAACATTTATTTTTCAAAGATTTTTATTAAGAAACAGGATTTTTTCCGCTGTGCTGGGTTTCAGACGGCTTCTTTTCTGACTGACAGTTTCTCCAGCCTTAGAAAAGACTCTCACAAGGGACAGAGGATGCAGGTGTGCATAGATGTTTAGTTGCTAGTTGGAATAAGGTGGGATACACTGTTTTCCTGGTCATCCAGTATTTCAGAGGGTCTTCAGATCGTCCCAGGTGTGGTTCCTTCAGATACCTAGGGATGCAAAAAAAGAAACATTTGTGAGTGGAGAAAAAAAAAAGCTTTTTTTTTTTTTTTTAAAGCACAGAGGGATGTACACGATACCTGTGCACTTCCACAGTGGCGCTGGCAGTGAAGTTGGTTGTCTGATTCCGTGCCACGTGATCATCCAGAAGGGCCCAGCGGTTGAAGTCCTGTTGGTCTGAAGGCCCGGCTCTTGGTGAAGGCACCACAGGAGTTGATGCTTGCGGAGTGTCATTTGTCATTACACTGGCACACTCACGAGTTAGTCGTTCCACTGCAGCTTGACGATGTCCTTGGTTGCAAAATGCCACTTCTTTGAATCTGGGGTCAAGCAACGTGGCAACCGCCAACACCGTGACCATTTCCAGCTGACCAAACTTTTCCATTAAATTATTTTTTAGATTGGTGGCAAGTTTGGCATCAATGCTGCGGGGCATTTGGTTACACTGTCCTGCAATAAAATGCTTGAGCATCTTTATAAGGGGAATAGCCTTGGACCCTCCTACGCTTTTCTCAACGCACCTGAATGAAAACATATGTACTGTTAGGTCCCAGGTTCTACGAATGTCATGATGCTGATAAAATCTGAATATCACAAATCACATCTTACCTTGGTCGGTGTTATTAAGTTGAAATGTTCCCACACAGGGGACCGCTTTCTGCCACTTGAAACATTCGCCATAACTCGCAATATAGAAACTCCTCTCTCAAAACCCACGTCTGAGTGTCACTGAAGCATCGTTCTTAAGCGCCAAAACGTTCAAGCTGTCAACCAATGAAACGCTTCGTGAACCACCGGTGACAACCGCAGCTTCAGACGTCACCAGTCACGTGACAGTTGTCGCTCGATACAAGCTCCGACACTTTGAGTCGACACACGGCGGTTAGACCGGCACAAGCTTCGGTGCTCCGGCATCATTTGCCCATCTCTAGCTAGCGTTAGCTTCTACCACAGGGCAACAGCTTCTTGTGCCTCAGTCAGAACTGTCAGGTGTTTACCTGCAGCCTCATCAGTGTCGTCATCACCACACAGTCACTGACAGTCAGTCCTCGGTGACGGTGGAGTCATGTTGGATTTTGGTATCAGGTCGACAGTCAGCCAGCTGATTGTTACACATACGTTGGTGCTGATGACCGTGTTTGTGCTCTGCAGGTATATCAGACTGTGAATCATCTCGGCGCAGGAGATGCGCGGCTGCGTTCAGTCCGTGGAAGTCGGCCTACATCCGGCAGCACCGCATAGAGACCAACTGGAGGCAGGGCGACTCCGGGGAGCCGATGGTAAACTCAGCACCGACACTCAGGTTCATGTGTTCACCTGGACGGGTCACGGAGCTGCGTCTGTCTGCAGGTGCTGAAAGGTCACGACGACCACGTGATCACCTGTCTGCAGTTCAGCGGCGACCTCATCGTCAGCGGCTCCGATGACAACACGCTCAAAGTGTGGTCGGCCGTCAGCGGAAAGGTAGGCCCGATCTCCTGTTACCCGACTCTGAGCGGGTTCTGGTGGTTCCACATGTGTCAAGTCAGGCAGGTGTCACGTCCTGAGCTCCTCCTTTAAACGCTCACACCAGCTTGTTCACCTGAATGCACCTGTTCTGAGCTGTGTTCTGCTCCTCGGATGGTGTCGCCCGTTTAGAGACCGAACTGGGCTCGGTTTAGATTCACAGCTTCATCTGCATCCAAAGCACAAACTGGAGCAAGAGAGGTTCATGTAAACACATCATGTCTTCATGGGAACTGGACCACGCTGCTGGTTTCCTGCTTCAGCTGAACTGATGAGTAGTGAACCCCCAGAACCGGCTCATTTTCACTCACTGAGGTTCACGTTTCAGCATCAAGTCCTGCAGCTCTGTGGAACCAGAACCACATGAAGGAGGAGACAGAACTCAGAGATGTGTTCTGTCAGCAGGACTCAGTCAGAACCATGGAGACCAGAGAGACAAATGTACTTCATTCCTGACAAAAACATAGAAGCCTGGATTGACCAGGTTTCCACAGAAGCCTGTGACGCTGGAGGCTCCTCGTAGCTTCACTGGTGGCTTCATGAGCGGTCGTCTGCTGAGAAGGTCCGTTCTGTCTGTTGCTGCTGAGTCGGCGAGTTTCTCATAAGACAGGAGACATTTTAGAACCATGAAGTGGTTCTGATGGACTCCAGCTGAGCTTGTTCCACTTCACTTTATATTCGACCCGAATCAGAGTCAAACAGACGACAGAAGCCTGAAAGTGGGTCGCCGTGACCCGAAGGGACACACAGAACCGACGGAGGCAGCAGGACCGCTGGTTCTGGAGTCGCTGTTTAACTCTGTGACGCCAGGATGTCACAGAACCGTTCAGAACCTTCAGAACTCCAGGTGTGTGTCTCCTGGACCTGTGACGTCAGGAGGCTCAGAATGGTGGAACATATGGATACATAGAGTCCATTAGTGCAGATACAGAACCAGATGGTTCTGAGGAGTTCAGGAGGGACCTCACCTCACCTGGTTCCAGCTGGGTCTATCTGGTCTACCTGGTTCTACCTGGTCCTACCTGGTCCTACGTGGTTCTATCTGGTTCTACCTGGTTCTACCTGGTCCTACCTGGTCCTACGTGGTTCTATCTGGTTCTACCTGGTTCTACCTGGTTCTATCTGGTTCTACCTGGTTCTACCTGGTCCTACCTGGTCGTAAGTGGTCCTACCTGATTCTACATGGTCCTTTCTGGTTCTACCTGGTTCTACCTGGTCCTACATGGTCCTACATGGTCCTATCCAGTCCTACGTGGTTCTATCTGGTTCTACATGGTTCTACCTGGTGGCTGTCTGAGCGTGCCGGTAAAGTGCAGTCAGGTGATGACACAGACACACAGAAACAGTCGGTGTGTGCGTCTGGTTTCGGCTGAACATTCCCTACCTGGACATGCCTGGACACACCTGGACACACCTGGACACACCTGGACACACCTGGACACACCTGGACACACCTGGACACGCCCAGACCTGCCTGACTCAGCAGCGTCCACGTGACCGGTAACATCGGCTGGTAGCATCAACCGGAGCAGCGTGTGAGGCGTTCAGGGAACATCGGTACAATGCAGCATCTGGCCATGGGCACTTGCAGCAGTTGTTTAGCCTGTGTCCAGCTAATGAAGAGGACTGGTGACTAAATAAATATATTTCCAGGTTAAAACATTTTACAGATGTCTCGTCTTGTATCACTGAAGATCATTACATCATAACTAAGTGATGCAGAAACAGCTGTTCATCAGCTGCATGGAGCACGAACAGCTGTGGCAGTGCTGATCCAACCCCCCCATATGTACTCACCAGATCATTAGCTGGTGTGACCAATGAAGAAAGTTGGCAGCACCAGTGCTACCATTGGAAAAGTTAGTCTGGAGCCCTGCTACAGAATCATAAGAAACCACGGATCCAGTCTCTGAGGACCTCCTGCTGCCCACTGCTCTTCACATGGTGTCAACAATGACTGATGAGATGACCTCCATGACCTCCATGACCTCCATGACCTCCATCCTCCATCCTCCTTGTTCCTGTCACTGATCACTGAGCAGGTTGTTGCTGCTGCACTATGTGACTGCTCATCATGTTTAACGTCAGTAAGTTTAAACTGACTGGGGGGTGGGTCGGGGGGGGGGTGGAACATCTTTCTACTGCTGATGAGCAGGGTAGAGAGGAAAAGTCTGGAGACATGGAGATAGTTCAACATCTGCAGAACGAGGAGACGACATTAGTTCCAGGTTTTAACATCTACAAAACAAATACAGAAGTCCAGGTTTCACTTTAATTTCCTGGTCTTCATGGTTCTGACTGAGTCCTGCTGACAGAAGACGTCTCTGAGTTCTGTCTCCTTCTTCATGTGGTTCTGGTTCCTCAGAGCTGCAGGACTTAATGTTGAGGGGAAACATGAAGCTCAGTGAGTGAAACGAGGCCTCAGAGACCCGTCAGTGGGTCAGTGACTCGTTAGTTAACCCAGTTTGGTTCGTTTGGAAAGTGTGACTGATGAACAGGAGAACACTCAGTCATCAGGTTTCCTCCCCCTCCTCCCCCTCCTCCTCTCCTCCCTCCTCTCCTCCTCCAGTGTTTGCGGACGCTGACCGGTCACTCCGGTGGCGTCTGGTGCAGTCAGATGAGCGTTTCCATGGTGATCAGCGGCTCCACCGACCGGACGCTGCGTGTTTGGGACGCTGAGAGCGGCGAGTGTGTTCACACGCTGTACGGACACACGTCCACCGTGCGCTGCATGCATCTCCACGGCAACCGGTAACATGCACACACACACATCAGGAACATCTAACATTTAGCTGCACTCATCTCCATGACAACACATGCTGCCTACAGCGGTGGCAGCGTCATGACGTGATACCAGAATACTGATGGAATCACTGATTTATGTACACTGAACAAAAATATAAACACCCCATGTCAAATATTGTTGCCATGTGGAGTTAGCAACTGTAAATGAGCATTTGCTGACATTTTATTGTACTAAAGTAATATTTCTCTTGATTTGTGTATAATGTTTAATCCAACTTGCTCTCAGTGAGCATCACTCAGTGAGTTGTTTTTTTACTCAGTGCATGGGTGGGCATGTCCAGTGGGTGATCAGACAAAGTGAGCAACACCTGGACAACCCTTGGACTGGGGACAATAAAGGCCACCCCAACATGTCAGATTTTGTCACAAGTCATGATGCCTCAGATGTCGCAATGCGGGAGCGTGCCATTGGCATGTTGGATGCAGGGATGTCCACCAGAGCAGTAGCTGCACGGCTCGATGTCCATGATCGAACCATCGGCCGTGTAAGAGTTCGTTTCCAACAGACTGGCACGACTGCAAATCGAC